CCCTGAGGAACAATTTCTTGCCCTGGAGGGTTGCCCAGGGCTGTGCCAGGCTGCCCAGGGCAGTGGTGGAGTCCCCACCCCTGGAGGGGTTCCCAAGCCGTGGAGATGTGGGGTGAGGGACACGGGGCAGTGGGGACCTGGCAGTGCTGGGGAAGGGTTGGACTCCATGGGCTTAAAGGTCTCTTCCAACCAAAATGGTTCTGTGATTCTGTAACCTCGCCCTGCTTGGGGCTGAGCTCTGGCACTCACATCACTGAGCAAACCCCAGCACGGGGCTCCCATGCCCCAGGGAAGGGGGGAAGGGGAGAACACGACGCCCTGCAGCAAGCCCAGCCCGACCTGCACCTCACTGGGCTGCCACGTGGGTCACACAGGACCCTGATCCCTGCCGGGGCAGCGACAGCTCCGTCACTGCACTCACTCTAAGGTTTGCCCCTGGCCAAGGGGAAGACTGAAAATCCTTCCACATTTTCTACGTTTCAGCCTTGAAAGCAGCTGCCATGGGAGAGGCACCTCTGTGGGTGAGGGACACGTGTCCATTTTAAATACCCTTATTTGAAACCAGCCAGTCTGCTGCTCACAGAACATCCCACCTGGCTCCTGCTGCTCCGGGCTGTGCTGCCTGCTCCAGCTGCCCAGAGGGACAGGGCTGAGCTCTGCTGCCTGGATGGGCACTGCCAGGGGGCCATGGCAACGGGGAACAGGCTCCACCCTCCCAGGAACCGGCCTCACGAGGGTCAGAGGCTCTGCAGAGGGATCTGGCCGGGTTGGATTGATGGGCTGAGGTCAGTTGGATGAGGTTTAACAAGGCCCAGGGAGGTGGTGGAGCCCTCATCCATGGAAGGGTTCAAAAATCATATAGATGTGGCACTTGGGGACATGGTTTAGTGGTCACGGCAGCGTTGGGTTGATGGTTGGGCTTGATTCTAGAAGTCTTTTCCAACCTTAATGATTCTATGGTTCATTAGCACAGTCAGGGCACTTGTTTTGTCCTCTATCTCTGTGTCAAGTCCCAAAACTTACCTGGTCAGCAGCAGGAAGGGCAAGTGTGAGGTGAGGGTTCTCCCAAGTGTTTTGTCTGAAGTCACCCTCCCAGAGCTTCTAACACAGGCCTGAGTGTGGGCTGAGGTCCTTGGCCATGGTTTGCAGCTGGCAGGGGCACACACAGAACTCCTCAGGCAGCTACCCCGGGGTCGTGGGGCATCTGCAGCCTGACTTCAAAGGGAGCTGGCAGAACTCTGTCCTTCCAGCTTCACTGAACAGCACACGTGGAAAGCACTCAGCTGAGACAAGCCCGATGGAAATAGGGCTGAGGAGCAACAGGCACCAGACCTCAGCCCAGGGCTGCTCACCAGCACCTCCTCTGCTCCCCCAGTCCCCTCCTGGCAGCAGCGAGATGCTCACCTGTGGAACACAACCCCCAGCCCGAGGTGGTGCCACGGCCAGGCCCAGCCTGTGCCCCTGGCCCCTCAGCCAGCCCAGAGCCACAGGGAGTGCCAGGGCTGCTGCTTCCTCGCTGCAATCAATGTGTTCAGTCAAAAGGCCAAACCACGGATTGCTTCCAGGCTTCCCAGCCCTCCACAGGTCCAGGGCTCTCAGAGGAGACACAAAGTCCTTCATCACCACCTCTTTGTCTCCTCATCACCTCTCCCTCCCTCTGTTCAGCTTCTCTGAAAAGCACTTTCTGCTTTTAAAGGTTTAGATCTTCTTTTCAAAGAGGAAACACCAGTGTGAGAACTCAGGAGCATCTTTACACTCAAGCAGGAGTTTTGTCTTACAAATCCTCTTTGAAATAATGGCTTTGTTTGATCATTTAGGGTTTTTTTTCTGTCCTTACCTGTTGGACTGGGATTAAAGTGATCCTCGACCACGGCTGCTTTGCTGACTGCTCCTCAGACCCCAGAATATCACGCTGGGCTCGAATGCAATTGCACTGCAGTGGCACCAAGGGGGGGAATTTTGTCTGGAATTTGTTCCTGGTCACAGCAAAGAAGGAAAGGAAAACCTCCTGCTTCTTCACCAACCACAGAAAACAGGACCACTTCCGTTAGCACCAAAAGGATTTTAAATCAACAGTTCCAGGGAGCTCCTTTTAAATCATAAAACGTGAATTTTACATAAAAGTGTGTTTACAAATAGTTTCAGCTTTAGCACTCAGCTCTGCCCCTCACTGACCAGAAGTTCTCTACACACAGACCAGCTCAGCTGCTTCACCCGCTGGCAAGGAGACTGCAGAATTTATTTAAGAAATTAAAAAAAACAAACCCAACGCATCAGATTTCCTGGTTCCTAGAGATTCTCTTCAGCCAGCTCGGGGCCCGCAGGCTCGGGGGAGCACTAAGCTTTGGGGGAGAAGGGGTACTGAGGGTGCCACCAGTCCAGGAGCCTGACGCTGTGCACGGGGTCCAGCACCACCTGCACCCCCTGGTCAGGCCGCGGCTTCTTCCCGCTGCGCAGCGGCGCGTCCTGGAACACCAGGCGCACGCGGTGGTGCCTCATGTCTGTGCTCACGTTGATGGTGAACTGCAAGGGAAGAGAGCAGGAGGAGCTTCAGAAACTCCAAGTGATGGATAAGGAGAGTTCTTAACAGCAGGAGTTTAGAGATTGGGTGTAAGTTCTTCTGAACGGGGTGAGGTTAAGGTGCTGGCGGTGCTGCCCCGAAGCTGGCGCCAGATGTAATGGTTTGAAACCTGCTGCCCCTGGTGGGTGGGGATCTGAAACCCTAAACCAGGTACAAGCCTGAATGAAAGGGGTGTACACCTGTCCTAGTCCCACTCCCCTTTTCCTGTCCTCGGGACTGCCTGCCAAGGTCTATAAAAGGGGCGAGGAAGGCACGACTCTCTCTCTCTTGCTCTTGCTCCTTTGACCTTGCACCTGGGCACACGCTGCTCTGCTGCTCCCTGTGCTACACGTGGCCGTGCCCATCTTGGAGACCTGGGCCTGATCTACAGACTCTTCCCTGCCTCCATCCACGTCCAAGGATTGTGCATCCAGCTTCAATCCACCTCAATCCAGCGAGATCCAGCACCGGGGAGCCTCAGCACAGCATTTGGGTTTTGTATATTTGGAAGTTTAATCTTCCTTGCCTTGTTGTTCCTACAACCCCCCTTCCCTGTTGAACCCCTTCCCTTCTTCCTTTCTGTACCCTGTTAAACCCCTTCCCTTCTTCCTTTCTGATCCCTGTTAAATAATATATTTCATTTTGTTAATTTTCAATTGCAAGGTTTTCATTCCCCCTGCCTTCCTTATTTACCTCTCTATCTGGGAAACTGAGGGATAAGGGAGGTGGGACACAGTTCTGCCTTCTAACCGGGACACCAGAGCAGCTCTCTCTGCCTGGCCACCCCAAAGGGAACAGCAAGCAGCTGTCAGAGAAGCCCAGAACTCACTGCTGCGTGTGGAGGTGGAGCCAGACTGAGCCTCTCCTGGGCAGAGGCCACTTCTGGACCAACTTCTGACCCTGACAGCCCAGCCCAGCCCAGGCACTACCTTCTGACTGGAGCTGCTTCAAAAGCTGCTTCTTCTCCCAGCAACCACCGTTCAGGGGCCACACACACATCAAAAGAATTTGCTCATACAGGTTTTTGCTCTTGGAATTTATTGGTGTAAGGCAGTGGGGTGTTCTCTTGAGGAGGGAATTGCTCCCCCACCTGGAGCACTGGCAGCTCCCACAGCTCCCTGCACATCTCCACACCATCTGGATTTGCTCCAGCAAACAGGGAAGAGCTGATGGAAAAACAGAAGCTCATCTGAGAAGCCCAGGTTGGATGGGGCTTTGAGCAACCTGCTCTAGTGGGAGCTGTCCCTGCCAACAGCAGGGGGTGGAACTAGATGAGCTTTAAGGTCCCTTCCACCCATAAATTATTCTCTGATTTCTCCTCATCATCAATCTTAAGATCCCTGACCTGGTTTGTTGCTGCAGCAGTGTGATTTACACACCAACAAAGAGGGGTCAGAAAGCACAGGAGCCAAGCTTGCCTGGCAGACATCTCCAGCACTCACCAAGGTAAATGTCATGCCCATTACTATGGGCACGAAGATGAAGTTGAAGGTGGTGATCTGCAGTAGACAGCAATCCTGATCCGGATTCGTGTGGACTTCCTCATACTGAATGGGTGGCTGAAGCCCTTTGTAACACTTGCTCTTAAATCTGGGAGACTTGAAAGAAAAGAGAGAGATGTATTTAGCTAAGGAGGAACCCAGGATGAGAGTCTGCTGCTCCTCGCTGGTGCTGCTGAGCAGGTTCTCACCACCCTCCCACACCTCTGGGTGGAGTGTTACACCAAGACCAAAACACCCTCCCCTGGGCTGGGCAAGCTGCAGAACCCACCTGCAGGGCTTCAGAGGGGAAAGCTGCAGAATTCCCAAGGCTCTCTGAAACTATTTGCTCCTCCTGAGACTCACTACTGGAGGTTTGGATTGGCTGTGTTGGCTCTCTTCACTTCCCTGGGCAACCCTTCCAATGGTGAACCACCAAGTTTCAGAGTTTGGGCTACGTTTTGCCCACTAAAATAAAATTTTGGGGGTTTTGGTAGTAATCAGTGGCTATTAATGGTTGGACTCAATGCTCTCAAAGGTCTTTTCCAACATAAATGATTCTATGATAATCCAAAGATGAGGTTATTTGGGGTTAACCTGATCCACACGTCACAGTGGAGAAAGGAGAGCAAAGGAGGAAATGACAATGTGGGATTCTAAATGTCTTGGTAACAGACTGAAAACCACGTGGGGTTTCAGAATGTGCTTCAGTTTATTGAGTCAGAGTTTCCATCTCTTGTCTGAACACATAAGAAGTCTCCACCTGCCTTCTACCCCCCCCAAAAAAAACCCATTACTGCTTCAAAATGTCACAGCCACTCTGGTCCTTCTTCCATACCTGCTTTTTGAACTTGAAGTTGAATTCCCACATTGCTTCTTGTCTGTTCCCTTCAATCTTTTTGCACCAGAAAAGCAGACACTGGGGTGGAAAAACAAAACAAAACAAAGCACAAAATGATGAAACCCTTAAAGGCACCATTTTAAGTAAGTTTTAGCAGAGGATAATGACTTCCAATTATAACCACAATTACACAGGAGCAGTTAGGAGCCATTTATTGCCATTAATTATGTTCAAAGAACACACTCAGCAACTTAGGTCTCCTGGTTTCAAGCTGGCCAACTCCTCGTGCACCTGGACCATACAACATGTAGCCACTAATGTGTTAAACTGAAAAATCCCATTGTGCAATTTGTCCCTTTTCACCAGGCAGAGACAAGCAGTCTGGAGTCACCCAGTCCCCCCCTTCCCCAAGAAGTCCCATCAAACTGGGCCCCCAACACAACTGCAGCAAGGAACAGCTGAAAACAGAACAAGGAACGAGGAGAGAATCCAGAGAGAAGGACAAAGACCCACCCAGGAGCCATGAGGGGACAGATGAGAAGGTCCCTAAGCCACTGTGGTGTCAAAAGAAGGTCCTGACATCCCCAGGCACTGACTGGCACACTTCAGAGTACCACAGCCCTGCCAAGGTAACACCATCTGACCAACCTGCTGTCCCTTTCTCCATGAAAATGAGAACAGGGCTTCAAGCATCAGCAGTCACCAGCACTGCCCTGCCACACAGGAGTCTTCCAGCAGAACCCAGCTATCCCCCTGTGGTCCCCAGGACCCACCCCAGCATGCAGCACTCGTTCCAGAGCAGAACTCCTGCACTGAATGGAGCAGGGGGGAAACACCATCTGACCAACCTGCTGTCCCTTTCTCCATGAAAATGAGAACAGGGCTTCAAGCATCAGCAGTCACCAGCACTGCCCTGCCACACAGGAGTCTTCCAGCAGAACCCAGCTATCCCCCTGTGGTCCCCAGGACCCACCCCAGCATGCAGCACTCGTTCCAGAGCAGAACTCCTGCACTGAATGGAGCAGGGGGGAAGCTCCCTGCCTGCCAGTGTGCAGAGGCCTCCAGCCTTCCACAGCCTCCAGCCTTCCACAGCCTCCAGCCTTCCACAGCCACCACCACTCCCCAGCAACC